TAATAATAATATTAATAATAATAATAATAGTAAAGTTGGAAGGGACCTTGAAGGTCATCTAGTCCAACCCCCTGCTCAGGCAGGAAACCCTACACCATTTCGGACAGATGGCTGGTTTCCATCAGAAAAGAAGAAGCACAAGGGTGACAGAGGTGCTGCTTTGTTTGTTTTTCTTTAAAAATGCGAGAAATAAATAAAAAGTAAAATTTTTCAAAGATTCCAGAACTCTGGAACTCTCCGTTGTAAACCTCACGTAGGCAAAGAGAAAACAAACTCATAACAACCGGTTTGTCCTCCCAAGAAATGCATTATTTGCCGATTGCCACGAAAACAACAACGTTGGGGCAGGAAGGGGGGTGTTGACAACGTGGGCGAACAGCCTCACTGGCCACAGACTGACCGCTTGTTTGAAATGTCCTTGTTGACTTTTGCAGGTTAGAATCAGTTTTTGATTCCCAATATAACTTCCTATTAAACGCTCTCTTTCATAGGAACTCCCCTGTGCAACTCCTACTATTTGTTTCCAACAATGCTCGCTCTCTCTCTCTCTCTCTCTCTCTCTCTCTCTCTCTCTCTCTCTCTCTCTCTTCCCCCCCCCCAAAGGACTCATTTATTAAATCTTCACCTTTTGCCCCGTGTTTTGCAATAGTCCCTGGGACGGTTGGGTTATTCACGAAAAATAAATTAGCCTATGGTTGTTTTTGCTCTGCCTGTACAACGTTCATTTACCTTCCTACACAGCGACACCCAGGCACACACACACACAGAAAAATAGGGACTACCAAGTGACAGCAAGGAGGGTATGCAGGATAAAGTCAAAAAAGTCAAGGTGGAATCTGATCGTATCCTAGGCCTCTGCCATCTTGACCCCCTCCAGTGTCCCTGCTGTGACAGCAAACTCAACCATTTCATTATGCAGGCAATCCTCTACGTACGACCATTGTTAAGCGAATCACATGGTCGTCAAGCGAATCTGGTCCCATTTGTTATCGGAAGCCAGCTGGGCAGGGTCACAAATGGCGACTACCGGATCCCCAGAGGGGGGGGGCACCGCAACTGTCACAAATACACTGCGAGGTTGCCAAGTGACCGGATTTTGATCACGAAGGGATGCAGCGGTGGTCGTAAGGGTGAGGACCGGTCATAAGTAACCTTTCCCCACTGCCTTTGTAGCTTTGAAGAGTTGCCAAACAAATGATTGTTAAGTCTAGGCAAAAATGGAGATGAAAGCTCTTTTGGAGAAATACAAATTGCTTTCGCAGGAATTCTGCCATCTCTGGACACTTTCCTGAATCCCGGAATGGATGCCCCTCACCAGTGCCCTACACACACACACACACACACACACACACACACACAGCAATAAAAGACAAATGTTTGTCTATTCCCTCTTGCAGCCATTCCCGTCAGAAAGGCGCAAAGGCTTCTGTTTTAAGATTAAATTCTCGGACAATCCCTTCGGAAAGTCCACATTCCAGGAATATCTCAAGCAGGACAGCTTCCCAAAACGTCCCCTTGAATTCCTGATCCGAGGACTTTTCCTTCACGAACGAGATCCAGTAAGAGGAACTTATTTGACCCCTTTTTATGTAACAGCAGGGAAAGAGGGAGAAAGCAGCCCACCAACCCAAAAGAAATCTGAAAGCACTGGGAACGCAAGATAATTTAAAATAATAATAAAAAAGTTCCAGCTTTTCTCTTCCTGTTTAAACTCCTGGGCCCCCGGACTCTTTTATCACCCCGGGGGCTTCGTTTTCTCCAGAGTTTGCAAAGTTTTCTTTGGCAAGACACACCTTTCTCCTCCCCCCCCCCGCAAAGAGATTTCTGGGCTTGGGGGCAGAGACCCCCCTGTTTGCCTCCCTCCCGTCCCAGCTGTGCTTGCAGTGCCCGCCCCAAAGAGGGACTCCCTTATTAGAAGAATGGGACAGGGTTTTTTTTTGGGGGGGGGGCTGTTTCTCCCCAAATGGCAGCCTCAGTCAGTTTAGCACTTATCGAGAAGGAAGGCCTGGAGCTTTGTTCAGAAGAAGAAGAAAAAGAAGGAGGAGGAGGAGGAGGAGGAGGAGGAGGAAGAAAGAAGAAGAAGAAGAAGAAGAAGAAGAAGAAGAAGAAGAAGAAGAAGAAGAAGAAGAAGAAGAAGAAGAAGAAGAAGAAGAAGAAGAAGAAGAANATAATTTTAAAAGTATTTTAATCGGAAACACAGCTGGTAATATTTGGTTTTAATTCGGCTTTTATCGGGGTTTATTTTTTGTATTTCTGTATTTTTGTATTTTGCATTTTTTGTATTGTGTGTATATTATTTGTTTTTAATATGCTGTGAACCGCCCTGAGTCCTATGGGAGAAGGGCGGTATACAAATTAAATTATCTCTCTCTCTCTCTCTCTCTCTCTCTCTCTCTCTCTCTCTCTCTCTCTCTCTCTCTCTCTCTCTTCACCCCCCCCCAAAAAAGGACTCATTTATTAAATCTTCACCTTTTGCCCCATGTTTTGCAATAGTCCCTGGGACGGTTGGGTTATTCACGAAAAATAAATTAGCCCATGGTTGTTTTTGCTCTGCCTGTACAACGTTCATTTACCTTCCTACACAGCGACACCGAGGCACACACACACACAGAGAAAAATAGAGACTACGAAGAGACAGCAAGAGGGGGGGGGTATGCAGGATAAGGTCAAAAAAGTCAAGATGGAATCGGATCGTATCCTAGGCCTCTGCCATCTTGCCTTTTTCGACACCCCCTCCAGTGTCCCTGCTGTGACAGCAAACTCAACCATTTCATTATGCAGGCAGTCCTCTACGTACGACCACCATCGTTAAGCGAATCACATGGTCATCAAGCAAATCTGGTCCCATTTGTTATCGGAAGCCAGCTGGGCAGGGTCACAAATGGCGATTACTAGATCCCCAGAGGGGGGGGCACCACAACTGTCACAAATACACCGCAGTTGCCAAGTGCCCGGATTTTGATCACGAAGGGATGCTGCGATGGTCGTAAGGGTGAGGACCGGTTATAAGTAACCTTTCCCCACTGCCTTTGTAGCTTTGAACAGTTGGCAAACAAATGATTGTTAAGTCTAGGCAAACATGGAGATGAAAGCTCTTTTGGAGAAATACAAATTGCTTTCGCAGGAATTCTGTCATCTCTGGACACTTTCCTGAATCCCGGAATGGATGCCCCTCACCAGTGCCCTACACACACACACACATACACACACACACACACACACACACCAATAAAAGACAAATGTTTGTCTATTCCCTCTTGCAGCCATTCCCGTCAGAAAGGCGCAAAGGCTTCTGTTTTAAGATTAAATTCTCGGACAATCCCTTCGGAAAGTCCACATTCCAGGAATATCTCAAGCAGGACAGCTTCCCAAAACGTCCCCTTGAATTCCTGATCCGAGGACTTTTCCTTCACGAACGAGATCCAGTAAGAGGAACTGATGTCACCCCTTTTTATGTAACAGCAGGGAAAGAGAGAGAAAGCAGCCCACCAACCCAAAAGAAATCTGAAAGCACCGGGAACGCAAGATAATTTAAAATAATAATAAAAAAGTTCCAGCTTTTCTCTTCCTGTTTAAACTCCTGGGCCCCCGGACCCTTTTATCACCCCGGGGGCTTCGTTTTCTCCAGAGTTTGCAAAGTTTTCTTTGGCAAGACACACCTTTCTCCCCCCCCCCCCGCAAAGAGATTTCTGGGCTTGGGGGCAGAGACCCCCCTGTTTGCCTCCCTCCCGTCCCAGCTGTGCTTGCAGTGCCCGCCCCAAAGAGGGACTCCCTTATTAGAAGAATGGGACAGGGTTTTTTTTGGGGGGGGGGCTGTTTCTCCCCAAATGGCAGCCTCAGTCAGTTTAGCACTTATCGAGAAGGAAGGCCTGGAGCTTTGTTCAGAAGAAGAAGAAAAAGAAGGAGGAGGAGGAGGAGGAGGAGGAGGAAGAAAGAAGAAGAAGAAGAAGAAGAAGAAGAAGAAGAAGAAGAAGAAGAAGAAGAAGAAGAAGAAGAAGAAGAAGAAGAAGAAGAAGAAGAGGAGGAGGAGGAGGAGGAGGAGGAAGAGGAAGAGGAGGAGGAAGAGGAAGAAGAAGAAGAAGAAGAAGAAGAAGAAGAAGAAGAAGAAGAAGAAGAAGAAGAAGAAGAAGAAGAAGAAGCCCCCCGAGGGTTGAGCTGGAGGCTACGGGCAGAGCCACCCCAATCTGCTGCTTTTACCCCATGGTGGCCCCCCCGGGGGCCGGTCCTTGGGGCGCCCACTCTTTGGCCACGGGGGGGGCTTCAGGTGTGTTTCTCTTGGATCCCACCTAAAAATAAGAGCGGGGAACGGCCGCTGGTTCCGACCCGGACCGCCCGCAGGGTGGATGGGACTGGCATATTAGAGTGCAGAATAGCAGAGTCGGAAGGGACCTCCGAGGTCTTCTAGTCCGACCCGCTGCTCGAGCAGGAGACCCGCTACCATTCCGGACAAACGGCTGGCCAGCCTCTTCTGGAAAACCTCCAGCCCCGCTGCACGGGAGGTCTTCGGGCAGGGCTCGGGCTGGACCCCCCCCTCCCCCCCCAAGAATTCGAGGGCTCTCCCTGCCCTTTATAGGTTGGACGGGGCGGCCCAGCTCCCTCCTGTGGCCCTAAATCTGGGGGGCTGCCCCACTC